AGTTAATTATTGGTATTAAACTTAATTTAATAGTTTAATACTAATAAAAAATAAATTGAAAATTGGAAAATCTTAGGTGAAATAGGTCAGTGGCTAAAGGTCATATTTTTTTATTCCAATTTAAATAAGCATATATATATATATATATATATATATATATATATATATATATATATATATTTATATTAAGATTTTTTTTGTTATATATTCTTTTTATAGATACAAATATTTAAGTAAATGCTCTGTTTATAATAAACAGTATTAAACAACATTTACCGGCCTGAATGTCTGAGAAATATATATATAATTCAGGGTAAAGTCTATATTGAGAATATGCTGTTTTCAGGAACAGCAGATCGTTAAGTTACAATAATGTTGAATAAAAAAGTAATAATCTTACGAAATCAACAAAAATTATTTAATAGGCTGCAGAGTGTAACGGAGGGAAACTAAAACAACGTTAAACACCGCAGATAATCTGAAAAAAAAAAATTTTAAGAAGACAATAGAAAGACATCAAATGAATTCAAATATGGCACCCAACACGAATGAAAAAAATGACAGTAAGCGCGTGCGCGCTTTTAAACTTAAAATAGAAAATTGCACCGCGTTACCAGTTGGGATTTTCAGTATAATCGGCGGATTTCGGTGCGAGCAATGAGAGAAACTAATATATATACTAATATGTTTTCGTAACGAGCGAGGTTCCAAGCAAGAAGAAGAAGAAGAAGAGAGTTGCGGTGGTGATGATGGGGTTGATAGGGAAGAAGAAAATAATGAAAAATAAAAGGCTGAAGGATGGAAATAATAATAATATTGAAAGGAAAATAGGTAAAATGAGAAAACGGTGATAACCAAGAAAAAGATGGCGAAGAACGACGGTGATGATGAAAATGATCAGTGAAGCCATTTCTGAAATTGGGTCTATCGTTGGAACACGGAAGGAAATGTCTGTACAAGAGAATTCCAAGGAAATAATAATAATAACAGGGAGAAGGAAAAGAAGACAGCCAAGAAGAAGATGGCGAATAATAATAATAATAATAATAGTGAGAAGAAAAAAAGAGATGGAGAAGGATAAGACGAAGGTAATTTTTGCTTATGAGGTCAAAAAAGGATTAAAAAAGTAAGAAAAAAAAATATAGAGGAAAGAATATAGCCAAGAAGAAGACGGCGAACGACGACAATAATAATAATTATTATTATAATAATAATAATAATAATAGTGAGAAGATGAAGGAAATATAGAAAAAAGAAATAATGAATAAAAATTAATTCATTAAATTCTTTTTTTTTAAAATAATAAAAAAAAGAATAAATTTGGAAGATGAAGAAATGTAGAATTTTTCCTTGTTTAAAAAAACACATTATAAGAAAATAAAGAAGAAATAAGGACAATAATAATCATAATAAAACTTGGACCTGGAAAAAAGAAAAAGACTATATAAATAATTAATAATAAACAAAATTAGAAACATCAGAAGAAAAAAAAATTTTTTTAAAGAATAATCGAATGAATTCAAACAATTATCCAAATACTGGTATCTGATAATAATAAAATTTTTAATTAATATATATTAAATAATAAATATAAATATATATATATATATATATATATATATATATATAATTGTATAGATAAATATAAATTTATATGTTATCTCATGAGAATTTAAAATTTCAAATAATCTAAAATAAAAAGTAATTTTTCGATCGCTTTTGTTTGTCGGTTAAATAAATAATAATATATATAAATATATATATATATATATATATATATATATATATATATATATATATATATAATAACAAATATAAGAAAAATATGCAAATATATATAAAATTAAAATATACAATTTTATATTTTTTTTATCTTAAAAATTTTTAAGAGGATATCCGATTCTTAAAAACTCAATTAAATTTTTTGCATTTTTTTTTTATATATATATATATATATATATATATATATATATATATATATAATCTTTAAAATATTTTTCTAAGACCAAAGTTTGTGTGTTTCCAATGGTGTTCAATTTCAGTTTTTTCTATAAACAACAAAAGTTTCTTCCTAATATTATTAAAATAAAAAAATTCTAAAATTTAAATTTATGAAAACAATTTACTTTTATATATATATATATATATATATATATATATATTAATTGTTAAATTTTCTTCAATTATTCTTTTTTTTTTTCGTCATTTTTTTTCATTGTAAAATTTGAAAATAACTATATTTTGTTTCATTATGACGGTCGTCTTCAGTATAGAATCCAGAGGTTAGCAGTGAATATTTCGAAGACAGTAGGAAAGCGTTGTTCAGGTTAGCAGTGGATATTTTGGTAAAAGTAGCAGAGCATAGTTCGTCCTTCTGTTGTTATCTCTTCGCCTGACAAGCTGGACTGGACATTCGGATAGAGTAAACAAAATGGCCGCCTTTATACACGACGGATTGAATATTCTACGTCTTCTGATTGGTTAACCTTCTATTGGTGGACTATAAAGTGAGTTAAGTCATTTGGGCTAACTCATTAGTTATATATATATACATATACACAAAAAACTGTAACACTTTTTCAGTCGAAATTATTTAAATTATTTTTTCTTTCTTTCCATCACTGTGTAATACCTACTAACATTTTAATCATTTACACTATCTCATGCTCAACAAAATGATCTGCCAAGAATGGTGAGATGTTGGATAATCATTAACCAGGGCAAATAATCAAATAGATGTTCTTGATTAAGTCAATTTCTAAACATTTTTCGTAAATAATTATTTCAAAAAAATCAAAGTAGCATATTTTCATGTCAAACTTTGGTCATATTTTTATAGTTTTTTTATGTATTTCATGTATTATTTTATAAAAATGACCCTTTTGTGTTCATATCATCTTTTATTTAGACTTATTATTTATTAAAATTTAGGAGGATGCGAAACAATTTACCCAATGAATAAAAAATATAATATCCTGCTTACAGGTTCTATAACATCTACTATTGACAAGAATCTATCTAAACATAACATAAATGTCGTTACATCCAAAACAGTAAAAGTCTTAGTGAATACTAAACAAAGCAATGAACTAAAACCTGAAGGAGGCGTGTACTCCATCGCCATTAATATTTGTCATATAAAATACATAGGAGCAAACTTTGTTTTTCCTTTATACGTAGAGGTGTTTTCATTTATGGAATTAATGACTGTAAACATTGTCCAAGAGTGTGTTTCTTCCGAGCACTTTCCTTTGAACTTTTAGATAATTTGAAGAATTTTGTTATGAAATAATTATAAATGATACAATTTTTAAAATGAATGTCATAAAAACTTTTAAATATTCTTAACAAAAATACGGACAATACATTAAACTGTGTTCAATTTTAATATGTTTTTTTTATATAAAAATCTTCCATCGCTTTTTTTTGCAGAATATACGTATACTAATAATGTTCTTTTCATATTAAAATGCATATTTCAAATTGGTGCAATTCCATGTTTCAATGTTAAGTTTTTTTGTTATTATAATGAAAGAGAATTTTATCATCTTTGACATTGACAGGAGAGTATTTGTGTCTTCAACTGACAAATTATCCTGACCGTTGGTTTCAAAATCGACCTCTAATCTATGGACAACTGGTGCAGGAAATGGCGTGTGAATTTTCAAACATCCAAAACGAAAGTGTTATCAATTTTCTAGCAAATAATAAACCTTTTTTTTAAACTATCAGCAAAAATGATGCTCAAATTTAGGCGCGTCACTGTGCCTTCAAAACCACGTTTTTTATGATTTTAGGTTATGAAAAAATTTATTTGAATCAATTGCTGCATCTACCGCAACGATAATTTTTCACTGTGTCGCCAACATTTTTTCACGTGTGTGATTTTTTTTCTACAAATCTATCTATTTAAATATTTTTTGGAATACTATTGCCATATATAAATGGTGAACCATCGCTGTTTATCTCGAATTTTTTGATTGTTAAAGATTAAATATGCAATGTGATCGATCCTGACATGAAAAAATCCCGTCTTCTGTCACTGTCTCAAATAATGTGACCTGGACTAAAGTTTTTTTTACAAATATTTTCATAAAAACTGCTCTGACAAAAATTTTCACAAAATTTAACAGCATGGATTTAAAATGTGTTACTAGGTTGGCATCTTGGTTCCAAATTATTTTTTTTTGTCTAAACATTAAAAAATCTATTTCTTCATAAAACAAATTCTTCCCGACAGTGGAACTCCCTTCCATGAATTTACTTGAATTTTTTTAACTATAATCTTCTTTAAAAAAAAATTAAAAAATAATATAAATCATCATCTTCTTTTTCCTTGATCCTTTTTTTTTTTTATCCTATATCCTTCCCTAAAACATATAATTTTTTTTCCATTTACATTAAATTTTTTTTATTTAATAATAACTATGGCACTAAAAATGCTTTTTTGATTTTTTAAAAAAAATTGGATGTTTGGATAAAATAAGTTGCCTATTTCGTTCTAGATTAAAAAATTAATATTGGTTTAGATTTGATGTTGTCGGTGAGGTATTATTTCCGTTAATAAATGTTGTTTTTTTGTTTTGTCTTAAATATATCTAAATATTCATTAGATAATTTTTATTTTTGTTTAAGATTTTTAAATTACATGGAATCCACACAAAAAATTTGTAAAAATATCAAATGAAATTAATCAATAATATCGGTCTGTTATCGATTTGATTTCGCCAGCGAGTTTTTATCTCTGTTAATAACAGTTTTCAAATATCCATTAGAATAGTTTCATTTTTATTAGATTGAGTTGGCAAATATAAATAATGTTAAAATTTTCTTTGGTGATATTTACTTTTATATATGAATTCTTCTGGAAATAATTCCTTGATATATATATATATATTATATATCATTTTGAAGCGCGTTTTTTATATTTTATCGAATCGTGTTTTATTCATTACCGTTCTCAATCTCTTCATTCATTTTTTTGAAGGCTTTTCGACAGCATGGACAAAATTCAAATCCGCGCGATTTTCTTGTTCCAGTTCAAACTAGGCCGAAAAGCTGCCGAGACAGCTCGTGATATCAATGATGCGTTTGGCCCAGGAACCACTAACGAACGTGTGGCACAACGGTGGTTCAAGAAATTTTTCAATGTTGACGAGATGACTCGAAGATGAAGATCTTCGCAATTGATTACGACTGCGGTTGATAACGAACATTTGAAAGCCTCAATTGAAGCCGATCCTCGCAAAACCACACAGAGAAGTTGCTGTTGGACTCGAGGTCGACCACTTTTCAGTCGTTCGCCATTTAAAGCAAATAGAAAGTCAAAAAGAAATGGATAAATGGGTGCCGCATAAATTGAACGATAATCAAAAAATCGTTGTTTTTGAGGTGTCTTCTACGCTACTTCTGCGCAACAAAACGACCCATTTCTCGAGCGGATTGTGACATGCGATTATGAAGTTAATCCTCTACAAAAAATGGCGATGTTCGGCACAGTGGTTGGATGCCGGAGAAAAACTCAAATAACTTTTCCCAAGCCGAAATTGCACCAAAAAAGATTATGGTGATGGCTTTTTTGTGGTCTGCGGCCGGTCTCATCCATCACAAATTTTTTGAATCCGGGCGAAATCGACCAATGACGTCGTCCCCCGGTCGCAGCGCCAACTGTGACGTTCTATTCTGATCTACCACGGCGCCAGTTGTGACGTCCCTAAACAGCACCAATTGTGACGTCCTCGCCGCGGCGCCAGCTGTTCACTCCTCGCTGCTCCGTCCGGGTGTTGCTGCTCCAAACGTGACGTCTGCCTGTCGCGTCAGTCGTGTTGTCTCGTCCTGTGACGACCAACTGGCTTGGTATCGGTCGCGGCACCCAAATGTGACGTTCTAACCTTTTGGTGATTCGGGTGGGAATCTGGTTAGATTTGATATCAGCCTCGTCGTTCCCAACTCGCTTCCAACGCCTGGTTACCAAAGGTAACTGCATTGATCTCCAGTCTGCCTACCCACGTTGTGAATTGATCTTAGACAGACGAGATCAAACAGTGGTTGGGGCCGTAATGCAAATTGAGTTCAACGGGGTGATACTACACAAATATGCATAAAAGAAAATAAAATGAAAACTCAAAAAGTTCAAAGTATGAAAGAAAAAGGTAACAAACTTTATGTCTAGTTGTTCGATACATAGGACTGCATCTATCTCCCGACCCGTTCTGTGGATTGTGACACGTCGTTTTCCGTTAGGCAAGTTTTAACGCTTCAAGTTGTTTGCTCTCTAAGAAATTGGTGTTTCGGTGTGTCTTTGGACGAAAGTCGAAAAAAAAAACTTATTTCGGTGGTCTGGTTCTAAGTCGCTCTTCAAAATAATTGTTCTTGGGTTGAAGAGGAGTCCGGAATTTTGCGTGAATCTTGGTCAGCTATCTGCGAGGCGGCTTCAACTGGAAACTGACTGACTCTGGAACTCAACTCTGGAAACTCGGAAACCGCGAACTCTCTGATTTCTGCCTGTTGGGGCCTCGCTTTTATTGACGCCGACCAAAACCGGGGTGGGTCTGTCGGCGTCGGGGGTTCCTCGATAATTCTAAATACATATCCACCTCTTTTTATTTTCTGGTTAGGGATTTTCCACTTTTTTCCATTTTTGGGAACTTTTTTCTCACTCCCACTTTCTCACCATACTTCTGAGGGGCGTGAACTGCCCTCCCCACTTCTTCGTAGCAGCTTCTCATACTTATACTCTGGATGAGGCGTCGACAGCCTTCTTCGTGCGTCACGTGATCACCACTCGGCCAATGAGGTCTTAGTCGGGTATCTTTCCTCCTCCTTCGTGCGTCACGTGATCACCACTTGACCAATGATGTCTTAGTCGGGCGTGAACGAATCCGCGGCTTTGTTTCGGGAAAAAAAATATCTTGCTTAACTAAAAAAAAAAATTATCTCTTCTTTTCCTTTTCTTCCGCTTTAATCGCCGTTATCATTTTCTCTAGCCGCAAACGGACAATATGACAACTCTTTTGTTCTACACGTGGTTTTTGTCAGGTATTTTATCGCTAATTATCAAAATGGGTGGTCTTCTTAACACGGCCTCAAAAAAGAAATATCTCTAAAATTTCAGTCAGTCTGTCGCCTCCAAGGAAGAAAAAAAACACTTTCTGGTCCCCATTCATTTTCCTTCGGTACATATTTCTGATAACATAATTTTATTATCGCAGGCCAAAGTTGTTTTGTCGAAAAAAAAAAACGGTCAGCGGACACTGGCTTGTGTGGTTTTTAATTTTTCATATCTACCCAAAGTCCTTTAGTTACACCTGTTTTTTGTCAATTATCAAAATTAACATTTTCAATTGAATTTTTCGTTGGCCAGTCGAGTCAGCCGTTTTGTTTACGCACCCCGTATAACACAGCCGTTATCAAAACACATCTGTTTCTTTCTTTCTTTCTTTCCCTTTCTTTTTTTACTCAGAATTTCCCTGTCATTGTAATGACACCCTTTCGCCATTTGTTACTTATCAATATATTCATTGTCTCTTAGCCGTGTGTGTGTTCTGCTTTATCACCACCCACGATTCGTCTCGCCTTTCTTTCTGCCTTCTTTTCTTTCTTTTCTTTTCTCTGCCTCGTAAATGGTGCCACAACGATTACAACGGAGAAATAAAAAAAAGAAAATTGACGAAATTAAACCAAAGCTCCAACATTTGTTGCCAATTTGTTGGTCAATATGAAGGACCAAAAAATCCATGACAACGCTGATCACGCATGTTGCTCAACTGACCATGCAATATATGAAAGAATTGGGATACGATTTTCTTTTATCATCTGCCATATTCATATACCTCTATAACCGATTATCATTTTTCAATATTTCTCGATAACTTCCTGCGTGAAAAAATGCTTTTCAAATTTTAAATGATGCCAAAACACAACCTTCAACTGAAACTTCATCGCTTCCAGAACTCCGGATTTCCATGCTAATGGGATAAATAAAAACTTTCTT